AACAACTTGTTCTGAATAACCAAAAGGCTCAGGATGTTGATATTTAGTCAGTAGCATGCTGGGATCAAGGACTACTATGTTTGTTAAAGTGAATGACTTTGACTTATATTCAAGGTCAAAGGGGTCAAATTTGTTTAAAATCTTTAAACAACCTCTTCTGAATAACCATGGGTCCCAGGATGTTGATACTTTGCAAGTTGCATCCTGAGATGAAAGGCTATAAAATTTCCTTTCAGGTTCTCTTGAATGAACTTTAATCATAAATACTGATATTTTATTTTGCCTGTAGCTTTATTTTAGATCACTTTTAAGGTTACAAGTGTGAGATTTATACCAGGTGAGCGATGCAGGCCCATTGGGCCTCTTGTTTTGCCACGTAAAGGCTGCATGAATTGGCCCAACCTAACTGTTGTATATTAATTCTGCAAAAGAGTGTTTACAATGCCGTATTTAAATGTTTCTATAAAACATATCACAATAAAACAATACAATGTTACCATACCTACACTTATACATATAAATACTTATTAATACAAGAGGCCCAATCGGCCTGCATCGCTCACCTGGTATACATCTCACATTTGTAACCTTAAAAGTTATCTTAAATAAAGCTAAAGGCTAATAAATCGTATAGCCCTTCATCCCAGCATGTTACTTGCAAAATATCATAACCCTAGGCCTTTTGGTTAATCAGTAGAAGTTGTTTAAAGGATTTAAACATATTTGACCCCTGTGACCTTGAATTAAGGTGAAGGTCATTCTTTTGTACAAACTTGGTAGCCCTTGATCTCAGCAAATTACTGACCAAATATCATTATCCTAGGCCTCTTGGTTATTCAGCAGAAGTTGTTTAATGGTTTTAAACATATTTGACCCCTGTGACCTTGAATATAGGTAAAGGTCATTCATTTAAACAAACTTGGTAGCCCTTCATCCCAGCATGTTACTGGCCAACTATCTGTATATTAGGCCTCTTAGTTATTCAGAAGTTGTTTACAGATTTTTCAAGACAATTGACCCCTGTGACCTTGAAAATGAACGAAGGTCATTTATTTGAAGAAACTTGGTAGCCCTTCATCCCAGCATGCTACTGGCCAAATATCTTATCCCTGAGCCTTTTAGTTATACAGAAGAAGTTGTTTAAAGGTTTTAAACATTTTTTACCCCTGTGACCTTAAATATGAGTCAAGGTCATTCAATTGAACAAACTTGGTAGATCTTTATCCCAGCATGCTATTGGCCAAATATCATCATCCTAGGACTTTCGGTTATTGAGGAGAAGTTGTATAAAGGTTTTAAACATATTTCACCATTGTGACCTTGAATATTTTTCAAGGTCATTCATTTGAACAAACTTGGTAGCGCTTCATCCCAGCATGCTACTTGCCAAATATCGTAACCCTGGACCTATTGGTTATTCAGAAGAAATTGTTCAAAGGTTTTTAACATATTTGACCCCTGTGACCTTGAATATAAGTAAAGGTCATTCATTTGAACAAACTTGGTAGCCATTTATACTAGCATGTTACTGGCCAAATATCATTATCCTAGGGGTCTTAGTTATTCTGGAGAAGTTGTTTAAAGATTTTTTAAGACAATTGACCCTGGTGACCTTGAAAATAGATGAAGGTCATTCATTTGAACAAACTTGGTAGCCCTTCATCCCAGCATGCTACTGGCCAAATATCATAACCCTGGGCCTCTGGGTTATTCAGAAGAAGTTGTTCAAGGTTTTAAACATATTTGACCCCTGTGACCTCCAATATAAGTCAAGGTCATTCATTTGAACAAACTTGGTAGCACGTTATCACAGCATGCTACTGGCCAAATATCATCATCCTAGACCTTTTGGTTATTGAGAAGAAGTTGTTCAACGGTTTTTAACATATTTGACCCCTGTGACCTTGAATATAAGTAAAGGTCATTCATTTGAACAAACTTGGTAGCCCTTTATCCTAGCATGTTACTGGCTAAATATCATTATCCTAGGCGTCTTAGTTATTCAGAAGAAGTTGTTTAAAGTTTTTAACATATTTGACCCCTGTGACCTTGAAAATGGGTGAAGGTCATTAATTTTAACAAACTTGGTAGCCCTTCATCCCAGTTTGCTTCTGGCCAAATATCATCACCCTAGGCCTTTCGATTATTAAGAAGAAGTCGTTTAAAGTAAAATATTGACGCCGGCCGGCCAGCCGGCCGGCCGGACAGACGGACGGACGACGCGCCATGGCATAAGCTCACTTGGCACTTCGTGCCAGGTGAGCTAATAATGTTGCCATGGTGATGAGATTTCGACAACAATGTCAACTCAGACAGATTTCAGCCATTAGAAGAAACATATTGCACTTTTATTATCTGCTGATGGCCATCCACGCGCTATCTTAATACTCTAAATGTGTCGTAAAAAACAAATATATTTTTAGTTTCTTTTTCTGAATTTTGCATGGCAGTAATTTTCAAATAGGTTTCATGACATCTAAATGATATGGGCTGGGACATCCATACCATGGGAAGAGCAACGATATGTCTCATCTCGCTGTAATGTACATAAAAACATACTTAACTCAGTCATACTGGACCACAATTATTCTCAATGTCTCTACATGATTCATTATGACAAAATTCACTGTATGCAAAACTCCAATCACATGTTAATTTCAAGGTGTATATATTCATATTGAGTGACTCCGACAATACAATTCAAACCTATTATTATAGAGGAGCAGCTATAAGAGGAATTGATGACTATATAGAAGGAAATATGTCGCCAGTCGAGACATAGTGGTCTGAACAAGTGATCGTAACCCACACTTCAGCATGCCCAAACCAACAAGACACCTACACTGCTGTTCAGACAAGAAGTCCAGGTATTCCGACAAACTGCCCTGCTTACCAGATTAGTTATCTGGACAAACTGCCCTGATAACAGAACTGGTGTCCGTCCAGACAAGCAGTCCTGGTAACCAGATTGGTGTTATAACAAGCTGCTTAGGTCACAGGATTTATGTCGGGACAAGCTGCCCTGGTAAACAGATGGGTATTTGGACGAACTGCCCTGGAAACCGTACTCATGTTGGGACAAGCTGCCCGGTAACCAGACTTGTGTCATGACAAGCTTCCCTTGTAACTATACTTGTGTCGGGACAAGCTGCCCTAGTAAGCGTACTCATGTCGGGACAAGCTGCCCTGGTAACCGTACTCGTGTTGGAACAAGCTGCCCTGGTA